AAATGAAAACAATAAAGAGAAGCAGCGTCTATGACAATACTTACAGGTTTGATACGTCGGGAGTGCCTTGAAACGAGGTCTCTCCTATTCTTTTTAGTCCACTCTTGGTAAAATGACTATAAAGGAAATGCGTGACATTACGCAGGCCGTAAAGTCCTCCACTGGTTATATAAATGTGAAGCGCATTGAGATTTTTGAAATGCGCTACATAAGAACCYATCATTAATTAATTAAAAAATTAGATGACATTTTAGGTGGCGTTGTTTCCTCATTGTTTTTTCAACATAGTATGTGATGAGTTTATTTTTTGATGGTACAATAAACTGTTGTGTGTGACTTGGCYACATTATGTGTGTTGACTTTATGTGATGCGATTCAATTTGATGCGATGCAATGCGACTTTTTTACACCAAACCGTAAAAGGCTTTTTTTCGAGTCATCGTCCTATTCGTTTTGGCCAAGCAAGATTATTGTACGTACAGCGATTGTAATATTTGTAGTCCTTCGAAGGCTCGTGATTGAATTTCTTTTAACTGGTTTCCTTTTAAGTACCTGTAAAAAATAAAATGAAAAATAATCTTAATAAAATAATTCCGTCATAAACACTTTAGTGCCGATTTAGCTTACAGATAGATAAGCAGTTTTGTATTGTTAAATGCACCATTGTATAGAGTCGTTACTTCATTAAAATCCAATACTCTGCAAAGGTATAACATGTGAATGTTTAATGACAAATAAATACAGGCAATTAAGTATATTTTAAAAAATACAGAAAACATATTCCAGAATTTAAGTGCTTATACCACCTAACTCAATATTTTCAGTATTGGTTCTACATAAATTGAATATTTGAATGGTAAAATATTTTCATATGATTTGAGTGATGATGCATCTTGGAGATATCAAGGTTTATACATCCAATATGTTAATGAGTGTTATGTCGTTATAGGAATTTGAGTTTATTTGTCACCATTTGTAAATAGCAACACTGATTAATATGAGAAAACAAATTTGCAATAAAATTTCAATAAACCCTGAGTAAGACATTGATGTTTTGTAAATAAATGAAATAAAAAATGATTAACAGTGCAAACATATTTGCGGGCTTCCTGTGGTAAACAGCTTATCAAACAACGGTCACCCTGTGTCTCTTCTCCAGTCTTTTCTTGGACAAAAAACAAAATGGCCGACGTAGAAATGCGTTTTCACTCGAATTTCTGTAAGTTTGGATAAAATTTACCTCGAAAAATGGTCTTTTTTGCGACACAAACATACCTCAAACTCCAAATATGGTAAGTAGTTTYCATATATGGACATAGAAAATGGCTGAGCAGAAACGACACGTTTTATAGAGCAATTTCTTGATATATTAACAGTTGCTTTCCAATTGGAATTTAGAAGTTGATTTTTGACTTTTGTTGACTTTTATTACCTGAAGTAAAGGTAAAAATAGCCTAGGGAGTGTTACCAGTACTAGAATGGATAAACCGTTGCAACCCAAATTGAATAGAGCTCTAAATTGATTATAACTTACAAAACTCGTAGAGTATGCAGTTTGAACAAGCCTGGTCGAACCGTTTCAATTTTATTGTGTTTAAGGTACCTAACCAAAATAAGCACACAGAAACAAAAGAAACGCGTATTAATATTGTTCTCATTTTTGTTATATCATCCAACATGGTGGCCATGTCTTTTGTTATATCATCCAACATGGTGG